TAGAACTCTGGGCAGTCACTGTGAGCAGCTCCACATGCTCAGGGCTCCCTAACTGACTGGTGAGAGTCATTGCTGCAGGATTCATGCTCACACTGAGGACTGTGTGGATCTTTTGTGTGGTTCTTGGGGCAGCACAGATGAATATTGCATGCATTGGGGCATTGGTCTCCTTAGAGGAGAGGAGGTGAGCATGAGACTATGCCAACAGAGCTGATCAAACCTTCCCCTCTGATAAAAAAGAGAGAGAGAGAGAGATTTACCACACCTAATTTGGGTGTTACCTTGGAAAACTGCCCTCACCCTGGACCACTGAACAGAGCTCTCTGGCCATACCCAGTACATGCCTCTAGGTATTCACTGAAAGAGTAGACCCTCCACTAAGCCACAGAATAATACTTAAAAGATAAAGGTCATCAGAAGGAAAAAAAAGTATCCTCACAAATGCCTAAAAATAAATGCAGAAATTCAAGAAACAAGAATAAGGACGATAACATGACACCCCCAAAAAGAACACAACAGCTCTTCAATATTAGAATGAGAAAATGAAGGGATTGAAGAAATGCCAGAAATGGAATTCAAAAAATTGATCAGGATTACTTAGAAGTAATCAGAAGCAAATCCATAAATTAAAGACATCCATACATTTCATGAATGAACATTTTTCCCATGAAATTGAGATTTTTAAAGAGAAATCAAAATGAAATACTAGAAATGAAGAATTCAGTAATCAAATAAAAAATGCGGTGGAAAGCCTTAACAACAGACTCTGTGAGGCCAAAGAAAGAATATCAGAGTTAGAAGACAAATTTCTAGAAATTTTACAGTCTGATAAAGTGTTAGAGATTTATGGGATTCTGTTAAACGACCCAACATAAGGGTCTTAGGAGTTCCTAAAGGCATGGAAAGAGAATGGGTTAGAAGGCCTTTTTAGTGAAATAATTTCAGAAAACTTGCCCAATCTGGAGAACAGGACGTCCAAGTACAGGAAACACATAGAACTCCTAATAGACATGACCAGAAAAGAACTTTACCATGACACATTGTAGTCAACTCTGTACATTAAAACATAAAAGATGGTAAAATATGCATGAGAGATTACTTTCAGAGTCTCTCCAAATTGACTCATAGCTGACTTGTCTCATCAGAAACTATACAGGCTAGAAGATAATGGTGAAATATATTCCAAGTATTAAGAGACAAAAACTGTCAACCCAAAATACTGTACTCTGCAAAGCTCTCATTTGTAAATGAAGATCTTCCATAACAAACACATTGAAAGAATTTGTCACCGCTCATCCAACCTTACAAAAGATGCTTAAGGGTGTGCTACACACAGAAACACAGAAACATGGTCATCATTATGAAAGAAGGCTAAAGAAGAAAATCTCCCAGTAAAAGTACAAAAGAGGCTGGCGCTGCGGCTCAATAGGCTAATCCTCCGCCTGTGGTGCCCACACACCGGGTTCTAGTCCCGGTTGGGGCGCCGGACTCTGTCCCAGTTGCTACTCTTCCTGTCCAGCTCTCTGCTGTGGCCCAGGAGTGCAGTGGAGGATGGCCCAAGTGCTTGGGCCCTGCACCCCATGGGAGACCAGGATAAGTACCTGGCTCCTGGCTCCGGATCAGCATGATGTGCCAGCCGCAGCGGCCATTGCGGGGTGAACCAACGGCAAAGAAAGACCTTTCTCTCGGTCTCTGTCTCTCTCATTGTCCACTCTGCCTGTCCCAAAAAAAAAAAAAAAAAAAAGAGAGAGAGAGACAAAGAAGGGCACTATGTAATGATTAAAGGATCAATTCAAGAGGAAGATGTGACTATAATAAACATACATGCACCAAATTACAGGCCGCCTGGCTATTTGAAAAAAAAATGCTAATGGATCTAAAGTAATACAGTAATACAACAGTATTACAACAGTAAGGGGGACTGCAATACTGTGCTCTCAGGAAAGGAAAGATCAACCAGACAGAAAATCAGCAATAAAACAACAGAGTAAATCAACACTATAACCCAAATGGACCTTGCAAATATCTACAGAACTTTTCATCCTGCAGTTGCAGAATACACATTGTTCTCACCAGTGCATGGAACTTTCTCTAGGATAGACTACATGCTAAGCCATAAAACATGTCTCATAATTTAAAAAAAATCAAAATCATATCGTGCACCTTTACTGACCACAATGGAATGAAGTTGGATATCAAGAAGTCAGGAGTCTCTGGATCCTGTTCAAACACATGGAGACTAAACAATATGCTTGTGAGTGAACCATGGTTCATAGAAGAAATCAAGAGAAGTCAAAAAATTTCTGGCAATGAATGAAAATGACTATACAGTATATCAAAATTTATGGGGAAATAGCAAAAGCATTGTTAAGAAGTAAGTTTGGGCTGGCGCCGCAGCTCATTAGGCTAATCCTCTGCCCGCGGCGCAAGCACCCTGGGTTCTAGTCCCGGTTGGGGCACCGGATTCTGTCCCAGTTGCTCCTCTTCCAGTCCAGCTCTCTGCTGTGGCCCAGGAGTACAGTGGAGGATGGCCCAAGTCCTTGGGCCCTGCACCTGCATGGGAGACCAGGAGAGGCACCTGGCTCCTGTCTGCGGATCGGCGCAACACGGCTGTAGCGGCCACTTTGGGGGATGAACCAACAGAAAAAGGAAGACCTTTTTCTCTATCTCTCTCTCTCTCACTAACTCTGCTTATCCAAAAAAAAAAAAAAAAAAGTGAGTGTATAGTTATTGGTGCCTACATCAAGAAATTGGAAAGGAACCAAATAAATGAGATATCAATGCATCTCAACGACTTAAGAAAACAACAGCAAATGAAACCCAAAACTAGTAGGAGAAAAGAAATAATTAAAATTAAAGAAAAAAATAAAAAAATTGAAACAAATACAAAAGATCAGTGAAATGAAGAGCTGTTTTTTTATTATTTTTTTATTTTTTTGACAGGCAGAATGGACAAAGAGAGAGAGAGAGAAAGGTCTTCCTTTGCCGTTGGTTCACCCTCCAATGGCCGCCACGGTCGGCGCGCCACGGCCAGCACACCGCGGCCAGCGCACCACGCTGATCCGATGGCAGGAGCCAGGAGCCAGGTGCTTTTCCTGGTCTCCCATGGGGTGCAGGGCCCAAGCACTTGGGCCATCCTCCACTGCACTCCCTGGCCACAGCAGAGGGCTGCCCTGGAAGAGGGGCAACCGGGACAGAATCCGGCGCCCCGACTGGGACTAGAACCCGGTGTGCTGGCGCCGCTAGGCGGAGGATTAGCCTAGTGAGCCGCGGCGCCGGCCTGAAGAGCTGTTTTAAAAAAAATAAAATTGATACAACATTGACCGAAATACCAAAAAAAAAAAAAAAAAAAAAAAAAGAGGGAGAAGAACCAAATCAATAATGTTAGAGATAAAAAGGGAAATATAACAGCAGATACCCCAGAAATAAAAAGAATCACCAGAAATTATTACAAAGAGCTATATGCCAACAAATTTGGAAACCTAGAAGAAATAGACAGATTCCTGGACACATACAACCTACCTAAGTTGAGCCATGAAGACACAGAAAATGTAAGCAGACCAATAGCCAGGACGGAAATTGAATCAGTAATAAGGATTCTCTCAGGAAAGAAAAGTCGAGGACCAGATGGCTTCAGTGCTGAATTCTACCAGACATTTAAAGAACTACAATTCTTCTCAAGCTATTGAAAACAATTGGAAGGAATATTCCCAAACTCCTTCTATGAAGCCAGCATCACTTTAATTCCTAAACCTGAAGAAGATAAAATAGAGAAAGGGAACTAAAGACCAATTTCCCTGATGAACATAGATGCAAAAATTCTCAATAAAATACTAGCCAGTTGACAGTACATCAGAAAGATCAATCATCTGGACCAAGTGGGATTTTTCCCTGGTATGCAGGGATGGTTCAACATTCGCAAATTAAAGTTGTACATCATGTTAACAAATTGAAGAACAAAAGTCATATTATGATTTCAACAGATGCAGAGAAAGCATTTGATAAAATACAACATCCTTTCATGATAAAAATATTAAGCAAACTGGGTATAGATGGAACATTCCTCAACACAATCAAGCAATTTATGACAAACCCACGACCAGCATCCTATTGGATGGGGAAAAGTTGGAAGCATTTCCATTGAGATCTAGAACCAGACAAGAATGCCTACTATCACCATCGCTATTCGATACAGTCCTGGAAGTTTTAGCCAGAGCCATTAGGCAAGAAAAAGAAATCAAAGGGATACAAATTGGGAAACAGGAAGTCAACCTATCGCTATTTGCAGATGACATGATTCTATATATAGGGGATCCAAAAGACTCCACTAAAAGACTATTGGAACTCATAGAAGAGTTTGGTGAAGTAGCAGGTTATAAAATCAACACACAAAAATCAACAGCCTTTGTATACACAGACAATGTCATGGCTGAGAAAGAACTTCAAAGATTAGTCCATTCACAGAAGCTACAAAAAAATTAAAAACCTTGGAACAAATTTAACCAAGGATGTCAAAGATCTCTATGATAATTATAAAACATTAAAGAAAGAAATAGAAGAAAATACAAAAAAAAAATGGAAAAATTTTCCATGTTCATGGATTGGAAGAATCAATATCATCAAAATGTCCATACTACCAAAAGCAATTTACATTTTCAGTGTGATACCAGTCAAATTACCCAGGACATTCTTCTCAGATATAGAAAAAAGTGATGCTGAAATTCATATGGAAGTAAAGGAAACCCGGAATAGCTAAAGGAATCCTATACAACACAAACAAAGCCAGAGGATTACAATACCAGATTTCAAGATATACCACAGGGAAGTTATAATCAAAACAGCCTGGTACTGGTACAAAAACAGATGGATCAGATGGATAGACCAGTTGTACAGATTAGGAACTCCAGAAATCAACCATGCATCTACAACCAACTTACTTCTGACAAAGGAGGTAAAATCAGTTCCTGAAGCAAGGACAGCCTCTTTAACAATGACGCTAGGAGAATTGAATCTCCACATGCAGAAGTATCAAGCAAGACTTGTACCTTACACAAAAATCCACTCAAAATGGATCAAAGACCTAAATTCACAACACAATATCAACATTGTGGAAATTCTGCAAGACATTGGCATAGGCAAAGAGTTCTTCACAAAAACCCCAGAGATTCAGGTAGTCAAAGTCAAAATTGACAAATGGGATTACATACAGTTGAAAAGCTTCTGCACTGCAAAAGAAACACTCAGCAAAGTGAAGAGACACTGACAGAATAGGAGAAACTATGCAACTGATAAAGGATTAATATCCAGAATATATAAAGAGCTCAAGAAACTCAACAACAACAAAACAGTCCAGTAAAGAAGTGGGCAAAGGACTTTCTCCTGTTATTTGCAACAGAACGGATGTACCTTGAAAACATTATACTTAGCGAAATAAGCCAGTCCCAAAAGATAAGTAGCATATGTTCTCCTTGATCTATGGTAACTAACAGAGTACCTAAAAGGAAGAAGTGAAATTGACCCTTTGAGATACACTGACTTTGAACATCCCTTGTCTCAACTGTTGAGGAACAGTTTTTGTTTCATACTATTTGTTGAACTTTTTACTTGGTATAGAGTTAATTGTATGTGTATAATGTTAATTGAAAATAGATCTTCATAAAAAATAAGAATGGGAATAGGAGAGGAAGGAGGAAGAAGGGTGGGAGGGCAAATATGGTGGGAAGAATCACTGTGTTCCTAAAGTTGTATTTATGAAATTCATAAAGTTTGTATACCTTAAATAAAAGGGTTCTGGTGGGGGGAAAAGGGTGCATTTAAAAATCGCTTGCCATATGTCTACTAAGTTTCTTAAAGAGAGGAATCATGTTGTGTTCATCCCAGTTGATGAGAAAATCAACATATCAGATAAACATGTGTGGCCAGGTGTCTTTCAGAGTGTGCACCCTGTGCCTTGGGTCATTTCTCATTGACTATTCATGTTTGCCCTTTGAAAATTAGAATTAGATGTTGCCCAGTTCAGGGTGGGGGAAAGACTCCTTTGTGTGTCTTCACCAATCTGCTTCCCTTTTTTCAGATGGTCCAGACATTTTCCCGTTGCATCTTGTGTTCCAAGGACGAAGTGGACCTGGATGAGTTACTAGCCGCTAGGTTGGTAACGTTTCTAATGGACAATTACCAGGAGATTCTGAAAGTCCCCTTGGCTTTGCAGACCTCTATAGAGGAGCGTGTGGCTCATCTACGAAGAGTGCAGGTAAAGAAGACGATGTTACCAGTCCTGTAAAGTTAGCAGTGGAAAATCACGTATGCATGTCAGACCCCTGGGGACATCTTGTTATGACTTTAAGGGAATTAATATGTACAAAGTGTTTAAAACAGGTCTTGGAACATAGTAAGTGCTGCATGTATTGCTCTTACTGAAAAATGTGTGGATTTCATACTTGGTTTTGTTATGTCAGTCAATTCCATGTAATTGTGAACCTAATACGTCCAAGACATTCTGGGAATGTAGAAAATACTCACCACAAAATATCAGAGTTGCGCTAATGTGTTCATAATCAGAAGTAAAATTTTTCATCTTTTTCTTTTTTGTAACTTTCTTTCTCTTACTAATACAAAGACAAAAATTTTTCACATCAGGAAATATTCTGAAGTGACAAAGGAGTGTCCAAGAACACAGCCTCTTGAGCTAAGCCATGTATGAATTCATGGCATGCCCTGTTTTAGCTGTGTGACCCAGGCGGATTATGTAACATCTCCGATCTCCACATCTTTCCAATCTTTCTTCTTTCTCTTCTGTAAAACAGGAATAACAATAGTTAATTCCTACCTCATAGAATTGTTTTGGGGACTGAGTGGTTTAATACATATAAATGCTTGCAATAATGTTTATCACATAGTAAATCTTCAACTAGTGGCTACCATTGTTGGGTAGTTAGTTTTATTAGATGATCCTTTCTGGCTGATGTTTAGATTGCCTTCATTTTTTGAAACCACTTTGCAAGCAGTATGGCAGTAAATATTTTTATAGCTCAACACTTTTTGGCTGATCCATGATTATTTTCTGAGGATAAATTCCTAAGAGCAGCATTGCTTGGTCAGAGGCCATGAACCTATTTTACATATTGATAGCATGTTGCCAAGTTTCCTTTTAGGTTGGTTGGTTCGATTTACATTGGTGTCAGTGGTTTAAGAAAGTAAGCGTTCCATTTCTTTGCATTGTTGCCTACTCTGCATATTATTATTAACACACATGCACACCTTTGCTGCCATAACTTTTATGAGTGAAAATTGTGGTCTTAGTGATGATTTAGTTTAATCTTTTTTCTCCGTATTTTTATGATCTACACTTAAAGTAAAAATGAAAAAAAAAAACCAACTTGGATTGAGCTTGAGGGAGGAGATGTTACGGCCATAATTGTGCTGCTCTGGATGCTTGCAGTTCTATGTACTCAGGGGCATAGTGCAGGTATGCGGTGCAGCAGCTGAGCCCTGGGAACCCTTGGCAGCCCATTGGAGATCAGAAGGCCGAGCCATGATCGCTATGATTAATGTAACTGCAGTTGAACATGATCTTGTGAAGAGGCATTGTGATATGCCCTGAAAAATGTCAGTAACCACTCAGTTGTCCAATTACTGTTTCTGTCTTGGAAGTACTCTGCAGAATTGCTGAGCAATTGTCCATTTTAGCATTCATGGCATACAGATCTATTTTATTGGCTAGGCTACTAAGCCCCTACCTCATGCAACTTTTATTTTTTTATTTTATTATTTTTTGAAGATTTTATTTATTCATTTGAGAGGCAGAGCTATAGAGAGAGGGGGAGATAGAGTAAAAGGTCTTCCATCTGCTGGTTCACTCCCCAAAGGTCACAATGGTTGGAGCTGAGCCTATCAGGACTCAGGAGCCAGGAGCTTCTTCCAGATCTCCCGTGCAGGTACTTGGGCCCAAGGACGTGGACCATCTTCTGCTGCTTTCCCAGGCCTTAGCAGAGAGCTGGATCAGAAGAGGAGCAGCCAGGACTCATATTGGATTTCAGCATGGCAGGCAGCAGTTTTACTCACTATGCCACAGCACCAGTTCTCGTGCCACTTAGAATAGTGCTTCTTGGACAACGCGGTGTTGCTTGTACTGTTCCAGTGAATCAGGTTGTGGCAGTGCCAGGGCTGACCCTGGGATGTATTGTGAGGTGTAGGCAGTGTTTTTGATATGAGCCCTCCATGGGCCTCTCTGCATCCTCTCATTCATCCATCAGTCCTGGGTACCTCGTGTTTTCGTGCTGGTCTAGGATTTCCCTGTCACTCTCCCCGGCCCTCGCATTTTGGTCTGGCCCTTTCTGTTAGTTTCTAGCTTTCTTACTTCAGATAAAAAAGGGTCCTATGTAGGCCCCTTTCCCTTATGGCCGTGGTCTGTCTTAGATTATCTCTAGCTGATCTGATAAACTGACATTGAGGTATGGAATGTGCTTAATGTAGTAACCCCTCTTGGCAACATATTTATTTTCAGGTGTTGCTTCTGAAAAAAAAAATTGAGGACAAAAGAAATAAATGTAATAGTGGATTTTATTCACTGCTGGAGAATAGTAGGGCTCCATATTTGTGAAAAGGCTCTGGTCTCTGAAATGAAATATTTCTAGTGGATGCTTGTTTCTTCCTAGGCCTTGTTTTCCTTTTGCCTCTCATTTCTCCCTTATCCCGTTTGCTCACGCAGTGGCTGCACGGCTGCTGTTCTCACTTGGTTCTCAAGTGAAAGATGGAGGTGATCGTGGTTCCTCTGTCTACAAAACATCTTAGCTAAGTGCAAGTCTCTGCCTATCCCCAGAGCTGGCAGAAGCAGGTGCTGCACACGTGGGGAGGGCCTGGAGAGTTCACTCCTGTGTGTGCAGCATCAAAACTGCTTTGAATTTAAAAAAATTTATTTAAGTTTTTACTTATTTTCTTGAAAGATGGGGAGAGGAGATGCGGAGAGAGAGAGAAAGGGAGGGAGGGAGACAAGGAGGGAGATTGAGATTGAGATTGAGAGAGATCAATCTCCCATCTGCTTGTTTACTCCCCAAATGCCTAAACAGTCAGGCTGGACCAGGCTGTAGTTGGGATCCAGGAACTCATAGCAGGTCTTGCATGTGATAGCAGGGACTCAACCACCAGAGCCATCATCACCTGCTTCCTTCCAGGGTTTGCATCAGCAGGAAGCTGGAGTCAGAAGCTCCGGCTGGGACTTGAAATTAGGCGCTCAGATGAGTGCGCTCAGGAGCTTCTTAACTGTTAGGCTAAATGCCCATCCTTGTAACTGCTTTGAATTATTTGATTTTAGTGTTAAAATTTCAGATCTTTTTAAATGGGGAGCAAAAGTGTTGATTAAGATGGATTTTGGAGTTTAAAAAGGCAAAAATATTATATTTGAAACTGTGACTTTAGATGATATTAGTTTGAAATTGTAGAAATACTTTTATTTTCAATATAGACTTTTCCCCAAGTTGGCGAATGGTCTGGCATTGCTACTAGGGGATATGCTATATTTGATCTGAATTGATTTTCATACTTTACCTTACAACACACCTTTTTTTGTTACTTTGAATCCTTCTGCTTCAGATAAAATACCCAGGAGCTGATATGGATATCACTTTATCTGCTCCATCATTTTGCCGTCAAATTAGTCCGGAGGAATTTGAATACCAAAGGGCGTACGGCTCTCAGGAACCACTGGCAGCCTTGCTGGAGGAAGTCATAGCGGATGCCAAACTCTCCAGCAAAGAGAAGAAGAAAAAGCTGAAGCAGGTAGGGCGGATGTTCTTCGGACCTCATTTTTCCCCTCCTCCTCCTGTTTTGATGGTTTTTTCATTCTGTGTTTTAATAGGTTCCATGGTTCCAGGAGGCTCATTACTGACATGCTTGGCATCAGTTTCCCAGATTTGTATTCTCCAATAGGGATCTTTGGCCATTGTTGAACTCTTGGTTTGTCAGACTGTTCTCTAGTATTTGTCCTCTGGTTTGCTACGTGGCTTGATGTGAATTTGTGGAGCAGTTACTTTAAATGCAGTGAGGCTATCAGTGAGGCCAGATTTCTTGTGATTATTTTGAAAGGCAGCTCAGAGCCCAGAGTAGGGGTGCGGAGTTTAAAAGCCCAGGGTTTTAGATCACCAGTGTCAAGTCAGTCCCTTCCTCAGTCACCCCTAAAAGCATTCAGTTCCAGTTGTGTTAGGCAATACCACTTAGGGGTTCAAAACAGTCTTACTTTGCCCATTCTTAAAGGCTGACCCACAGTCAGTTACATTTTAATTTGAGAGGCAGTTGGAGCTCCTAACTGCTGGTTCACACCCTAGATGCCTGGAACAGCTAGGGCTGGGCCAACCAGACCTGGGAGCTGAGAGCTCAATCCAGCTCTCGCAAGAGGGTGGCAGGGACCCAGTTACTTGAGTCATCACTGCCACCTCCCAGGGTTTTCATTCGCAGGCGGCTGGAGTCAGGAACCAGAGCGAGCCTCCAGCTGCAGTGCTGTGCTGTGGGACGTGGGTGTCTTCCCTGCTGGGTGAAATACCCTCTGCTGTGGTTTGTTTTAAAGACTGAATCCTATGTCGCTGGATTCCAGGTCAAACCGTTTATATAAAGCGCTAGAATTCTGGGCTCTTACTCATATTTTTCTCACAGTCGCGTTGGAGATTTCAGTGGTGAGTATCAAAGCAAAAATATATTGCCTCTCTGTAAGCTTTTCATAAAGTAATATATACCAGAATGTTCTCTTTTCTCTTCTACTTGGGCAAGTTGGAGAAGTAGAAGATGCTGAGATGTAACTGGGCCAAAATTCTCCTTAGAACATAAGATATTTTCAAGTCAGAGTTATTTGTGAATATTTTTAAAGCAGTCTATTTATACTTGGGCAGTGGGGAAAATTTTCAGAAATAGGATTAAAAGAATTTTATTTGAAGGTTGGATCAAGACACAGATGAATTAAATATATAGAAACTGGAGACAAATGATTTAATAAAAATAAAACAAAACCAGAAAGCATGAGGTCAAAGCTGGCTGCCCAATCTTATTTCTTGTATGTCTTTGACACTTCCTGGGCCTTTTTTTGTTAGTTTCAGAAATCCTATCCTGAAGTCTACCAAGAACGATTTCCTACACCAGAAAGTGAAGCACTTCTGTTTCCTGAAAAATCCAGGCCCAAACCGCAGCTGCTCATGTGGGCGCTGAAAAAGCCTTTCCAGCCGTTTCAAAGAACGAGAAGCTTCCGGATGTGACGCTCGTGTGGCGGCCGAGGCCCCAGCCCACTGCTGTTCGGAGCGAATGGGTGCTTTGGGAGGAGGACTGTGGGGGAGCACGAAAGGAAAAGAGAGACCCTGAAACAGAAAGATGATCTGACTTTCGAAAAATTGAGCCGTTATCAGTATTTTTGTAAAAGTCAATGCTGTTTTTAAAATGGACAAATCAATTAAAAAAATGCGACAGTATGTAGGTGTATAATGAACATGTTTGTAATTGTTAAAAATCTGGGTATTTTCATCTTGTTATTTGTTGTCTTCCATGGTGTCTATAAAAGGATAGTGTGTATATCCTGGTTACTTGTGTCTGTTGTCAGCAAGTCTTAGACATACTGTATGTTCTTGAAGAAGAAAGACACTGGGTACTGTTACTGTGATGCTATCAACTTAATGGCCAACTGTGATTTCTCCTGTGTACCATATGGTTTTCATTGTTATACAGAAAATTTCCGTGTCTTACATTGTGATGGTTCTGTTGGATGTTATTACAGATTTTACTAAAAGCTGGTTCTTTTAGGACATATCCATGAGTTACGGTTTACCTGTAAGTGGAGTAGATTTTCATCTACCCAGGATGGTGTAATTTTACTCTTTGCTAAAGATGGAAGACTGAATTGTAAAATTTTTTTGATCCTCATAGTTTTATGATTTTATAAGTCAAATTTGGGTTGTTTTTGTAAAAAAAAGGAAAAAAGAGATACAAAGGAGCTAAGTAAAATGAGACTATTTTCTTTATAAATATAGTTTTTCCAACTTTTTTATCCCTTTGAAAGAAATGAAATGGAATGTAAATAAATTTTGGGGTTTTGTGTTTGTTGTGTTTTTTGTTTTGTACCATACTTAGTAGTTGCTTTTTGGGGTTCATTTAGAACAGCTAGCATTCTGTGCCAGTGTTCTCGCATCGGTCATTTCTTTCTGTAAGAAGATGGCAGTTGAGATTTGGGCACTAGCATACTTATGGAGAGTTCCTAACACTAGGGACCACGTAAGTGCGGACTTCATGACTGATCACAGTTTTCCAAAGTCCACCAGTGTACACTTCCGGTAGCAGTTCTCAGAGTCCCCTTGGCTCGACATCTTCACCCAAACTGGCAATTCTTAACTTGGATTGTTTTCAGTCTGTGGAGATGTTACAGTACCTGATAACAGTTTACTTTCCATTTCCATGATTATTAATATGGCTGAACACTTTTCCCCATATGTATTTGCACTTTTATACAGATTTGTTTTTTAAGATTTATTTATTTATTTGAAAGGCAGAGTTACAGAAAGAGGGAGAGACAGAGAATGAGAGAGATCTTCCATCGGCTGGTTCACTCCCCAGATGGCAGCAACGGCCATAGCTGGGCCAGGCAGAATCCAGGAGTCAGGAGCTTCTTCCAGGTCTCCCATGTAGGTGGCAGGCACCCAAGTACTTGAGCCATCTTCTGTTTTCCCAGGCCATGAAGAGGGAGCTGGATTGGAAATGGAGCAGCCGGGATTCTAACCAGTTTCTATAGGGGAGGCTGGCCTCACAGGCAGTGGGTTTACTCACTGCGCCATGGCACCAGCACCATTTTACAGATTTTAATAGCTTATGAAACTGTGCATATGAGCACACACCCACACACCCTGTTGTGATTTTAAGTGCATTATACTGAATCTTTAATTCAATTTGGAGAGAATTGCTATCTTTACAGTATAGTCTTTCAGTAGGTAAAAATTTGTTATCTTGGGGCCAGTGTTGTGGTGTAGTGGGTAAAGTTGCAGCCTGCAGTGCTGGCATCCCAAATGGGCACCGGTTTGAATCCCAGCTGCTCCACTTCCAATCTAGCTCTCTGCTATGGCCTGGGAAAGTAGCAGAAGGTGGTCCAAGTCCTTGGGCCCCTGTACCCACATGGGAGACTTGGAAGAAGCTCCTGGCTTCAAATCAGCACATCTCCAGCCATTGCTGCCAACTGGGGAGTGAACCACTGATGGAAGACCTCTCTTTCTCTCTCTGCCTCTCCTTCTCTCTATGTGTAGCTCTGACTTTCAAGGAAATAAATAAATCTTTTTAAAAAAAAGGAATGCTAAAAAAATTAAGAAAAAAATTTTAATTTGACATTTTATAGACTTATTTCTAAGTAATACTTTTTAAAAAATATTTATTTATTTGAAAGGTAGAGTTACAAAGAGAGGAAGAGAGTGAGAAAAAAAATTTTTTTATGGAGCTGGCACTGTGGTTCAGTGGGTTAAGCTGCTGTCTGCAGCACCTGCATCCCATATGGGTGCCAGTTCCAGTCCCAGCTGCTCCTTCGGATCCAGATCCCTGCTAGTGGCCTGGTAAGATGGTGGACAATGACTCAAGTGCTTGGCTCTTGCACCCATGGGGGAGACCTGGATGGTGCTCCTGGCTTCAGTCTGGCCCAGGGCTGGCCATTGCGACCATCTGGCGAGTAAACAGAGGATGGAAGATCTCTCTTTGTCTCTCCCTTTCTCTTTCTCTCTATAACTCTGCCTTTCAAATAAGTAAATAAATAAAATCTTTTAAAAAAATGTTCGTATAGGCCGGCGCTGCAGCTCAATAGGCTAATCCTTCACCTGCGGCACCCGCACACCGGGTTCTAGTCCCAGTCAGGGCGCTGGATTCTGTCCTGGTTGCCCCTCTTCCAGGCCAGCTCTCTGCTGTGGCCCGGGAGTGCAGTGGAGGATGGCCCAAGTGCTTGGGCCCTGCACCCGCATGGGAGACCAGGAGAAGCACCTGGCTCCTGGCTTCAGATCAGCGTGATACACCAGCTGCAGCGCGCCAGCTGCGACGGCCATTGGAGGGTGAACCAGAGGTAAAGGGAGACCTTTCTGTCTCTCTCATTAACTCTGCCTGTCAAAAAAAAAAAAAAAAGTTCGTATAAAAATTTTAGATACATACAAAATAAAGAATAGTACCCATCTCCTTGCTTTAACAGTTACTATGCAATTGATAATTGCCTTAGTGTTTGATCCCATTATAAATGTTTGAAAATTTCCTTTCCGGGGCCTGTGTTGTGGCGTAGGGAGTGGGGCCGCTTCGTGTGATGCCGGCATCCCAAATGGGCTCCAGTTTGCATCCCAGCTACTCTACTTCTGATCCAGCTCCCTGCTAATGCACCTGGGAAAGCTGCCAAGTGTTTGGGCCCCTGTACCTACGTGGGAGACCTGGAGGAAGCTCCTGGCTTCCATCTGGCCCAGCCTTGGCTGTAGTGGCCATTTGAGGAGTGAACCAGCGTATGGAGGAACTATCTCTCTTCCCCCTCTCTGTGGCTGTGCCTTTTAAAAAAAATAAATATTTTTTAAAAATTTTGTTTCTGTTGCTTATATGTAGTAGGAAATGGATTTTTTTTTACTGATTTTTGTGTCTAGTAGACTTTTGCTAGATTTTCTGTTTTCTTAAAAGATTTGTTTACCTATTTATTTGAAAGAGTGACAGAGAACTGTTTTTCTCTTCTGTGGTAGACAGCATCTCAAATGTCCCCAGGGACACCACCTCCTTGTTTTTAATGTCCTGTGTAATCCTCTCTCCTTGCGTGTGGAGTGGACAGCATTCAGCAAAAGTGAGGGGAGATCACTTCGGAGATGAGATTGGAAAGACTCTGACTTCTCTCTTGCCTGTTCCCTCCCTCCCTCTTCCTGTCTTGCGCTGTGGAAAGCTGGCTCTGTGGTTGTGTGATGGAGAGGCACACCAGTCATGAGCTGATGACTAGGCTGGCGGCCAGCAAAAACAGGCCACCTGTGTGCATTTTTGGGTGTGCTCCTGAAATGGGCTCTCCTTTAGCAGAGCCTTGGAGTGGCTCAAGGAATAGCTGATGTTGTGAAAATCTTTGAAAATCTCAGAGCCAGAAAGCTAAGCTGTGTTCCTGGGTTCCTGAGCCTCAGACACTGTGAGATAATAAATGTTTTAAGCCACAATTTGGGAGTAATTTGTTAGGAAGCAATAAGTATCTTAATCTTTGTACTATTTATTTCCTTTATTCCTCCTTTTCTTTCTTCTTCCTTCCTCTTTTTGTCCCTTCCTCTCCCTCCGCTCCCCTCCCCTTCCTTCAAGGCCGTGGAGAGTACAATGTAATGCTGAGTAGAAGCACAGATAGCAGCCATAGTCTTGTTCCTGATTTCAGTAGGACAGCTGTCAGTATAGGGTATTTGTAAATCCTTTCTTAAATATTTAAGTAAAAAATTACTTTTTTTCCCATTTCCTAGATTGCCAAAGCATTTTTGTTTGATTGTTTTAATTATAAGTTGTTGAATCTTTAATGTCTTTGTACATTTTTAAAGAATTTTATAGGTTTCATTCTTTGCTCTGCAAATGGGGTATATTGCATTAGTTGATTCCTGATGTTAAACCAACCTTGCATTCTGGACTGTGAGTGTTGGTAAATCTAGAGCAAGATTTAATACCATTTTAACATATATCTAAATTCTGTTTCTAATACTTAGGGTATAATTCTCAAATCTATGAGTAAAATTGGACTAAAATGTTCTTCTCTTACCCTTTTTGGGTTTCTGATCAAGGTTATAAATTGAGTAGAGATTTTTCATCTTGTATTTGTAAGGTCAGAATTATTTCTTGAGTCGTCAATTGACTTGGTGCAGTCATGGAAATTTTCTAGTCAACATTTGCCATTGATTTTTAGTGTAATTACACTGAAGTAAACAGCATGGCTTGTGAAATTGATTGAGATATGCTCCATGGCCTAGCAATTGGGCAATATTTGTTAATACTTTGCATGTAAGATGAAAGTGAATTTTAGTTATCAGACATAGTCATTTCCCTCTAGAAAGGCTAGCTAGGGGCCAGTGCTGTGGCACAGTAGATTAATCCTCCGCCTGTGCTGCTGGCATCCCACATGGGTGCCAGTTTGAGTTTTGGCTACTCCACATCTGATCCAGCTCTTTGCTATAGCCTGGGAAAGCAGTGGAAGATGACCCAAGTCCTTGGGCCCCTGCACTGTATGGGAGACCAGGAAGAAGCTCCTGGCTTCCGATCAACTTAGCTCTGCTGTTGTGGTCATTTGAGGAGTGAACCAGTGGATGGAAGACCTTTCTTTCTGTCTCTCCCTCTCACGTCTGTAACTCTACTTCTCAAATAAATAAATAAAGTCTTAAAAAAAAAAGGCTAGCTCAATTTGCATTCTTAATATGATTTTATGTTGTGTGTATATTACTGAGGTGATTTTTATGTATTTCTGATGAAATTCATTTATGAACTTTTATAACTATGGTATATTGATATTTTAATCATTATGAAATATCACTCTCATGATATATTTATCTGTGATTTTCCTGTATTCTTATATTTTAGATGCTTCTCTTCCAAAGAGCATATCATAGAACTGATTTTCATGAAGGCAACTTTTAAACTGTGTTTCTAACTGTAACACTTAGATAATTTATGTTTAATATAATTCTATATTTGGATGTAAGTCTGTTATCTTTATTGATGCTTCCTAATCATTTGTCTTTACTTTCTTGCTTTTGTTTAAAATTTTTTTAAGATTTATTTATTTATTTGAAAGTCAGAGTTACACAAAGAGAGAAGGAGAAGCAGAGAGAGAGAGAGGTCTTCCATCCGTTGATTCACTCCCCAATGACCGAGACGGTCAGAGCTGAGCTGATCCAAAGCCAGGAGCCTCCTCCAGGTCTCCCACATGGGTGCAGGAGCCCAAGAACTTGGGCCATCTTCTGCTACTTTCCCAGGCCATAGCAGAGAGCCGGATCAGAAGTGGAGTAGCCAGGTCTCCACTTCTGATGGTGCCCATATGGGATGCCGGCACTGCAGGCAGCAGCTTAACCCACTACGCCACAGTGCCAGCCCGCTTTTG